ATGAACCGGAAATGCCTGGGGCGAAACTTCTTGTCGTCTTCATGGAGTACGTACTTCCACGGTGACGACTGGCTGAGGGTCTAAGGAGCGCTGGAGCACTTTCTCCACCAAATTGGTGGCCGTGGGCAGGTCCCTGGCCCGTTGGATGCGGACGGAGAGCATGTGCTGGAAATTGCGGTGAACAACGTCGTCAGAAGGGAAGCCAATGTCCGTGCCGTCATGGGCCCGATAGTACCGGGCGGTGTTGGGGTCACCATACACACTAAATCTGTAACGAGGGTTAGGGTGGGGGTGGGGTGGAGACTGTCTGAATGGCTCATGGTGCGGCATAAAAAAAGGAGAGAGAAAGCCCTGATCCATAGCACGTACGAGAAAGCGCCCAAACGAGCCGCCTTTTCCGGATCGAAGAGCGTGGACCAAACACGCTCAGGACGGGTCGGTGATTTGTCTACCGCCGCGGACATGCGTATCGAAAAGCTGCGGCGGCCGGGGTCTAAAAGGGTACGACACGGTGACGGTACCAGAGGAGGTCTCGGATAGGACGGAAGGAAGGCAAAAACGCCGCGGGCGGAAAGTAGGAGAAAGGCTAGTGCGTGGATCGACAAGCGCACGTGGAAGGATCTTCCTGCCGGCGCCATTTCACCTGTCCCTGTCTTTCCTGTGTCGTGTGCGGGACGATGGAAACGAGACGTTGAAGTTTGCAGCAACTGCGTTGAATCAGAACAAATCCATGGTCGCATGAATTACCTCAGGACCACAAGGAAATCGGTAGGAATGCTTGTCGACTTCATGCACGCATCGAATCAATGTCATTTGCGCATTTACGGCGTAAAAAGTGCACCGTGTACCGATAGTTTCCTACGTGAAGCCGTAGCTTTCTCGGGCTTGAGCGAGCGCCTGGAGATGACAGATGTAGACTATGGCGCCAGCCTGTGCACACCTAAAGCCGAACATTTGGCAGGAAAATGGTTTCCGTGCATTAAGAAACTGAATGGATAAGGCCGACAATGAGCTAGGACGATCGTCAGGATTGAGGAAGCATATTTTTTAAGATAGCTTTCGAGGAGACACGGACCGCCTCGACTCACGACGCCCTAGCCCCCATCGCGACAAATTCATCGACAAACCGTCTCAGACATTGAACTCGACACTAAAATTCAAACCTTTATAACCCATACCAGTCAAATATTTTGCAGTGAATTATAAGAAATGTAAACATGTGATGGTGCGTGTGACCTTTTAAAACTTTTTAAACACGTGGTACGCACTCCCTATTCCCTGAGGCCCCGTTGCATTACCCCGGTGACTCGCAAACGTTTCGGGAATGTACACCCTTGCAAAAGATTGAACAGCTGTGTGGAAGACAAGCTGGAACGCTCACGACCCGAGTGGACCTGATTTTTAGGGCGGACGTGCTTCCAGGAGCGAGGGCTAGATTTCCCCGGAAGCCACGTCCGAAATGTGTGTAGGCACAAATATCAGATCTGTTGGGCCCGAAGCAAATATCTAGCACCTGGCCTGGTAGATTTAAAGCAAATGACACAAACATGCACGCTAGCCCAAGAAAGAGGAGCCAGAGGAGTGCGTTTCATTAACTATTTTTCGCGTGCATCAACTTGCATGGTCAGATCCAACCCCGCCTCTGCTTCATAGCATCATAGGCTATGGACACCGACATAAAATCTCCGAGCGATCCTCCTTGATCCCTTTTGAAACCTGCCTTTCTTTAGTCCTATCTACACAAGCACAGGCACGACCCCGGTGCCTCAGCGCTTGTTCTGGTCCTCCTGAATTTTCTTTATGGCGGCTTGCTGCTTCTTCATGGCAGCATCGATCGCCTCCTTTTGCTGCTGCTGGGCGCTCTTCAGGTCGGCATTCTGCTTGGTCATGGTCTTCTCCACCGCCACCTTTTGCTTGGCGACGATCTCATCGATGTGCGTGGCCACGTAGCCGAAGACCGCTGGGGTTCACAGGCAATCCGAAGAAGGGGAGGGAGAGATTGGGTTGGTCAAAGGGGGGAATGAGTGCACAAAGGTCCATCAGACAATATAGGATCCACCTCACGGTGTGTCAATCCTGCTCCCCTTCGCGTCTTCCTGCCTTCTCCTGCACTTTATTCCTCACGCGATGCGCTAAAGTAGCAATCACACGCAGGCGTGCCACACAGAGTATTCTCACACACACACATGCACACACACGTCGGCCTCGAGTGTTTTTGAACGCGCCATGAAAAACTGCCCCTACAGGTGTAAGACTGCCCACATGTGTGCGTCACTAACAATACTCAGGTCCCCTCAAGCGGGGCCCAACCCGTAAGGACTCTGTCGTGCCACGACAATCAACACCGCCTTTTCCTTTTTTTGATCACCCGCGTCGAGTACCCCACCAATCCGTTCCTTCGAACCTTTTATCACTTACCACCTGCGCACGCTGCAACAAAGAGGACCTGGGGGATTATTGCCACAACCTCACGCCGGATTAAGGCTGTGCGTTCCGAGGGGCTTCGAGCAAGAGGCTGGCTCTGCACCTTAGCCCGAGGAGAGGCATACCTTGCCTGATTCGGCAAAGGATGCACTCCGTGAAATGCCTCGCTCCATCCCAGAGTTGAGAGGAAAAGAAGAAGAAGGAAACCCAAACGCTTTGACATAATGCGGCACCTGCAACAGGAAGTGGTGTGGGCACTGGCTGTAAGGGGACGAGTGGAAAAAAAAACGCGAAACTCCATCCATCGCACACCTACCACCATTCCATCAACATTTAATGCGTTACACAAGCCTCAGCTTCATGTGGACAAGGTACTTGCAAAACAAGTAAGAAAGTTATACCCGCCAACGTTTCTTCCCCTTGACACGCGTGTTCCGGGTGGCCGGTCTTGGCGTCATCGGGCCAGGCAACATTCATGACGAATCACTCAAAATTTAAGCTCTTACAGTCCCCTTCGACACAATATGATCACAGTAACAC